ATATATATATATATATTATAACACATTGAATCTTAAAGTGTTGTTGTTTAATTATGTTGTTGTATATATTGTTGTTTTGTGTTGAAAAATTTTAAGAATTGATGATTTTCTTTGAGTTTAGGTAGTGATGAATGTTTCTTTAGATTGAGATTCAATTTGACCTTAGAAAATATGTATTTAATGTTTTTAGAATTGAGCCTGACAAGTTCAACTTTTCAGAAACTTAAAGACATGAATTATAGAGAGAAGTGTTCTAATCCATGAGAGTTGAGTTGTATGTTGAGTGTTGGTGGTGTCATTATGTTGATTATGTTTAATCATGATGTTGCTGTGTTGCTGAGACGATGAATATTGGAAATGTTTTAGACATATATGCATAGTGTTGCATATTTTACTGTGAGGATATTGTGTCGTGGTATTCTAAGAGTCTAATTTGTTAAGAAATCATTTTTTGAAAGTTGACCTTTAAAGAAAATAGTCGAGTCTCCTCTAAGACCTTAATTAGTACCGTGTGTGGGCAAGGTCAAGACAAACGTGCATAAAGTAACAAATTGAGTAAATTACAAAGTTAGAAACTTAATTCCTAATCGAGTATCAGAAAGGCATAGTATTATGAGGGTAGTTAATAGGCTAATCCCATAGGAGACTCAGTTAAGCTAACTAATATCGTGGTAGACTCATGTCCAAACTGTTTCACCCTAACAATAGTATTAGACTTCATAATTTAAATGACGAGATCTGATAAATCAGGTTATTGTGTTGTGATTTAATACCCAAATTTGGTTGTTGACATAGTTGGATTAAAAAGGTCCCTCTATGTTGTTATTTAGGGTCAAACTACTTAAATCATTCACCTTATATTATAAGGGATTTTCTAATTGAAATGCGTGATGATATATGTAGTTGGTAGATGATGCGATGATGTCTTTTTAGTGTTATTGTTGTGTAATACTTTGTATAAGAGTTATTTGGTTGATATCTTAAGTTGTATAGTTTACTTTTATCGAATTACTGTATCCATATTGCATATATTTTTTTTATGTCATTTTATCTTCATATGCATGATATAAATTGCATATTCATGCATTTGTATGTATACAATTTTAAGTTATTAATTGTTTTCTCTGCTACCAACCATTTATCATAAAGTAGAAGGATTATAGCATATCATTACACATACAAATACTTTGTTGCTCAATTCATGTTTATAAATAACATTTTAAAACAAGATAAAATAATAATCTCAACCTTTAAGAAGATTTATTTTATTTTATACCAATAAAATGAAATTCGTCTCATAGATTCAAACTATTAATTGAAAAATATTTTTGACACACAATTTTTATAAAATAAAATAAATTATGCAATTTAAATTTAATACTCCATTAGCACAAGTCATTTCAAATTCAATAAAATATTCAAATAGTATAAATATTTTTATACTACTATTTAGTTATAAATTACTTATTATATTTTACATTTGACCTAATAAATTTGTATATATCAATAGTAGATCACAAATTCACAATTAAATTAAAAAGATTTGCAATTGTAATACATAATTTTTTAAAACAATTATCATATAAAATAGAAAATTTAATTATATACTAATTTAGAATGAAACAATAATTTATATAATTTTTGATTACATTTTAAACAATGATAGTTTAGTTTAAATTGAATAATTTTAACCTGGAAATCTAGTAAAAATATCATGATTAGATATTTAGTTAAAAAAGAGTAAACATTTATTGAAACAGGGATTTGTTTTACCACCCTGTCTGCAATTTTCATAGTAGTCTGTAGCCACTCATCGGGTTTGTGTGTGCAGTAAGAACATCCCCAAAAATTCCCTCTCAGTCTCTTCTCCTATGGCTTCCTTTCTTTCTCCCTTCAAACCCTAATCATCGTTAACCATCTTTCTCTCTCTCCATGTTCCGCCTCCGGTACTTTATCACTCTCTTTTCCTTTTCACTCTTCTATTTCGCTAAAACTCCTTCCCCGTCACTATTTTTCATCTTCCGTCATCGCCTTTTTGCATTTTTCCTATTTTTAGTTTTCAGTGGGAGTACTGTGATTGTTTTGGGTTGAGCACGTGCTGTGCTGTGCTGTGTTGTGGGTGTTTTTATTTATTTTTTACTTTGGGGGAAAGATTTTGAATGTTCTGTTTAAGTGTTTATTACGTTTTTGTTTTTTTATTTTTCGGCGAATAGATGATGGGCTTTAGCATGCTATGATAAATATTCAAACTTTTCACGCAACGGTGCGGATAAGGATCCTTATCCTTTCTATTTCTAGCTTACAAAGGTTGAATTCTAATTATTGCTTCATATCTTTCTCTACATGTTGTTTGTTTGTTTTTTTGGGCATTTTGTGCTGTTTGATTATGTAAACCACATAAAGTTCGCGTAAAGAATCTGTAATCAATGCTACAAGGTGTAATTGCAATCGCTAAAATATATGAACATATAGATTGTATTTTTATTTGCACTGAAAGCATTCTCTGCCTTAGTTGTTTGCACATAATTTATGTGTGGCGTGAAAATGAATGAATTCTAACCGGTATTCGTGGTTCAACTAGGGGATTGTCTTGTCAGGTGGTTCTGTCGTTGATCTTCTTTTGTCTCGTTGGATATGGACTGTGCTCTTTGAATGGGTTAAAAAACCCATCTGATTATGATGCTTGTGCATCTTTTGAGAAAAGTTATGATCTTGGTTCTTCAGACACCACTGTTAGTGACTCTAGTGTAGGCTATGGGTTTCCATCTGCCCGTAAAACAAATGAAAATGTGTGTCCGAAGAGTCGCTCATTCTGCTTTCCGTCAATGTTGTCTGGATTTTCTCATAAGGAGAAAATTGTCAAGGAAGCTTCTCTAGGAGAATCTGACAGTCAATACAACAGTCCATTTTGTGTAGAGGTAGCTCAAGATAGCAGGCAGACAAGTAACAAAAGCTGGTCATCTGAATATGGTGTGTATAGGTTACTTAATGGAGGGGTTGTCTCATGTTCTTTGAACACCAAAGAGGGAGTGAATGAAGTACGACTTCTTCAAACTGAGGTTGGTTGTAAAGATGATATTTCTTCTTGTGGAGGCTCATCACTTAAACAGAAGACAACGCGCTTTCTGTCAAAGAACTCTGAGATTTCCAAATCAAATTCTTTTGATGATTCTGTCTCACCCAATGTAAGGATTGGCCCTACTGTGCTGGACTGGGGACAAAAATACTTGTATTCCTCTTCAGCAGCTTTTTTAACTGTGACAAATACATGCAATGACAGCATATTACACCTCTATGAGCCTTTCAGCACAGACTTACAGTTCTACCCTTGTAACTTCAGTGATGTTTCACTAAGTCCTGGTGAATCAGCTTTAATTTGTTTTGTTTTCTTCCCTAAAAGTCTGGGCTTGTCATCAGCTAGCCTGATTTTGCAGACGAATTCTGGTGGATTCATAGTAGAAGCTAAAGGACATGCTACTGAGTCTCCTTTTGGAATTCAGCCCGTATCAGGTGTGCAAATTTCTCCTGGTGGAAGATTGAGCAAGAATTTTTCATTGATCAATCCCTTTGATGAGACCCTTTATGTGGAGGAAATAACTGCCTGGATATCAATTTCTTCAGGGCATAATTCTGTTGAAACTGAAGCAAATTGTAGGATAAATGATTTTCAGGTTTTTGATGCTTGGCTCTTCCCAACTTTAAAGGACCGATTGGTTGTGAAGAGTGGCCAATTTGGTTCACCAATCGTAGCAATCAGACCCCATAGGAATTGGGATATTGCTCCACATGGCTCTGCAACTCTCATGGAGATGGATATTATGGCTGGATTTGAGGGAAAAATCTTTGGTGCATTTTGTTTGCATTTACTGAGGTCCTCGCAAGATACATCTGATACTATTATGGTCCCTATTGAAGCTGAAGTAGATAGTCATTCTGCCTATGATATGGTTGGTATATTTATTTCAGCAACTCTTGAGGGTCTAGCTACATGTGATAGTGGTGAAACTGCTATCACTATCTCTCTAAGAAATGATTCCCCTTATGTTTCAAGTTTTGTTAAAGTCATTGAAGTTTCTGACAAAGAGCTTTTCCATTTCAAGTACCAAGAAGGTTTGCTGCTTTTCCCCGGTACTGTTACGCAAGTTGGCATTATTTACTGTAGTCATCTGCACTTGGATTTACATGACCTTGCTCCTAAAGTCTCCAGCTTGCGAGAGAACTGCAAACTGCTGATTCTTACTAATGATTCAACTAGTCCCCTGATTGAGATACCATGTGAGGACGTATTATATATTTGTTTTGAACATCAAAGGCTAAGGCATTCATCTGTTAAAGTAGAGGGCAAGTCCAAACATGCTGAATCTGACAATATGAGAGCAGGGTATATGGCCAGAAGCATGCAATTAAGACCAAACATCAAGGTAAGTTGATTCAGCCCTTGCTGTCTGTATTCTATTTGAACACAAATGTTGATGAGCTGTTTTTAATTAATAACTCAACATTGAGACTACTGAGTAATAAATACCGTCTTTTATTTTTGTAGTCATTCATTTTTTCTTTTAAGAATGGGGTATTTCAACTGAATCAATTTTGTAAGTGCGTTGGAACTTGGAAGTATGCACTTTTGATAAATTTAGACTTTTTCTCTGATATTATTACTTAAAATACTGAACTTGACAATTATTATTGGCTATGCTTACAATGTTACATGATTATGTATGAAAATCAATTGTCTGCATTAACTATGTATGTCTTTTAATTCCCCCCCCCCTAGATTTTTAGATTCAATTATCAAGAACTGAGAGTTAGACAGGTTTGAGAGTTGAGAAGTAAAATGGCTACGGTGCTCTAGGTAGGATAAAGGGGTGTTAAATAGTTTCAATATATTCAACAGGTGAAATGGAAGGATATATATATATCTCATTGACAGCTCAACTCTGAAAGTTGGAGTCTCATCTACTTGTATAGTACGCAGAAATAGTGCAGTGAATCACATAGGATTTTCTCCCATTAGTGCCTTCTTTACCATTGTTTAACATTTCTGTCTAATCTACTCCTCTACTCTTTTTCCTTCGCTGATACTTTTTATTGCCATTTGTCTTTCCACAAAATGCTGTATATGTGCAATTGTTGTCATTATGTACACTTATACAGTAGCAGATCTTGGTCATTATGCTATAGAAAATAATTTTACTTAATTTTCTTGAAATTATTTAGTATTATTGATTATTGATACATATTTTCAATTTCCAATAACCATTAAAGTAAGTTTTCTGCTATGTTTATTTGAAGGTTTTAGAGACGGATGTAGATGAACTGGTTCTTGCAAACTGGAAATCTCAAGGAACCAGTGTTGGCATGTCTGTGCTTGAAGACCGTGAGGTGTTATTTCCAATGATTCAGGTTGGAAGTTATGTCTCTAGGTGGATCACTGTTAAGAATCCCAGTCAACAACCCGTTGTGATGCAGCTTATCTTGAATTCAGGGGAAATAATCAATGAGTGTAGGGGTTTAGATGATTCAATACACCCTTCTTCTAGTAATTTGGTTCTAGATGAAGGTGCTAATCCTAAAAAGTACGGATTCTCTGTACCAGATAATGCACTAACAGAGGCTTATGTGCACCCTCTTGATCATGTAACTTTAGGGCCAATAATTTTTTATCCATCTGATCGATGTGGATGGAGTGGTTCAGCAATGATAAGAAACAATCTTTCAGGTATTGAGTGGATACCTTTAAGGGGATATGGAGGGCTGCTTTCTTTGGTTTTGCTCGAGAGGTCTGAGCATGTTGACAGTGTAGATTTTGATCTTAAAATGCCCAAGACACTCAACTTTTCTCTTCCATATACTTTACTTCACATGAAAGAGATAACCTCTGCCTGTTCACAACATTTAATGAAAGAGTTATATGCCAAAAACACAGGAGATCTGCCATTGGAGGTTAAAAGTATCAGAGTTTCTGGGAGAGAATGTGGGTTGGATGGTTTTAAGATTCTCTTTTGTGAGGGTTTTGCCCTTGAGCCTGGGGAATCAACTAAACTACTGATATCATATCAAACCGGTTTTTCTGCAGCTGTGGTGCATCGAGATCTTGAACTGGTGTTGGCTAGTGGTATTTTTCTGTTACCTATGAAAGCTAGTTTCCCTTATGATATGCTAAGTATCTGCAAGAGATCCATGTATTGGATGCGACTGAAGAAATCTCTTCTTGGGTTCCTTCTTGTTGCATCCTTAATAGTTCTGATATTTTGTTTCATATTTCCTCAAACCACTGCATTGGGCTTCTTGGATTTCTCTTGCAAGAGTGATGATAACATGGTCCACACCACCATGACAAGTGCTGTGGAAACCTCTGCGGTACATCATGAGCAGAGAAAGAGTAAGCTCTCTATGTCTAGTAAGACGAATCATCTAATGGAGGCCTCTAGTGCCAGATATTCCTATGGTCAAGCCAATCCATCTGAACTGGAAATATCTCGGCATTTGACAGAGAGTTCTGAAAATCATAAACAGACTAGTCATGCATTGGATATTCAAAGTGAAAGAAAATTGTCTTCCACAGAAGTTCAGAGCTCTGATCCAATGAAAGAATCTCAGTTGGGTTATCTCACGGTCAAAACTGGTAAAGAAAAGGGTAGAAGAAAAAAGAGGAAGAGTCTTGGTGCGAAATTAGCAACGTTGTCTGAAGTTTCAAGCAGTCAAAGTGGGAATTCTACACCCTCATCTCCTTTATCCCCAACTGCCGCTGCTACACCTAAATGTAACTGGTCATTGTCTGCGGATGTGGAGCAACCTCCTCTTGAGGCTCTCTGTTCGATGACACAGGGGGCTGCCCAACATTCTGCCAATGATCAAGCTTCTGCTGCTGGGGCAAATATATTGAAACCAAGGTGCAGCAGTAATATGTCTTCTCAAGTGCCACATTCTGCTTCAGGAAGTGCTACTAGTCTACCTGTTCAGATTCCTTGTGCCACTCCTCTCTTTACTGCCAGCACTTTTCCATCTCCCTTGGGGTCAAAATCTACTGTGAACTTGCATGCTCGAGCTCCTGGATCCCAACTTCACAACCAAACAGCTGTTCAAGCACGAGAGGCAAATGAGTATACATATGATATTTGGGGTGATCATTTTTCTGGACTTCACTTGTTAGTTCCAAAAGATGTTACTTCCATGAATTCCAAGTCCTGTCCCGTGGAAAATAATTTCGACAGCTTTTTTGTAAGAGGTCCACAAACCCTTGTGACAAATTCTCAAGAAGGCTAATAAGTTGAAAAACAACGTTATTTGACGTTTTCTTGCCTTCACCCTGGGCCTATGTTAACAAGAAAAATAAAGGTCTGGATAAAGCCCTGACAGCTGCACATGCACACTCACCATCATTTAGTAGTGTAAAAAAGAATTATAATTTTATGACTATTAACAAAATTAGTACATGGAAAATCCTATAAATATGCAGAGTAAAAGAGGAAATAAAATAACGAAAACTATGGGCTTGGTGTAAACTTGATGATGTCAAGTACGTGTTGACAATAATGGTGTCCTTGCCATAAGATCATGAAAAATGCTGTTTAGGGTGTTTAAGAATTTAATGAGGTTAGGTTAGTTTTGATTTTTTGAGTATTGAAAGAAAAACACCCTATCTCTGTGGGAACTACTTATTAGCTTGACAAGAGATCGGAGCTGTTGTAGTACTCTATGGCCGATTAATTGCTTTATATTCCTTTGGAACTACACATGAAAGTAGCCTTATAGATAGATACCTAGGACTGACTACTTTTACGTTGATACAGCACGTAGGTCGTTAAACTCTGGATTGAATCGCTGTTCCTCACAAAGTTTGGTCTCTTCTAGCCTCATTTCTGGCTAATTTTTTCTTGTTTCGAGTTTGTTTTGGATTCCACTTCCACTTCCTGTTTGTTTGGATAAATTATTTTAAAATCTATATTATTAATAAATTTAATATTTTTTTAGTGTACATTTTTTTATTGACCATTTTACTTTTACAACTTTTAAAACACTTTTTCTAATTTATTTATTTATATTATATTTTCTAATTAACTCTCTAAAATCATCTCTCTCATTTAATTTCAACTACTTTTTATTATTTAATTTATTTTTAAAATAAAATATATGGAAACTCGAGGAGTCTTTTGTATGCAATAATTATATAAAAGATAATAAAAAAATAAAAAAATAACTTTCTTATATTTATGTAGAAGTTAATGTGTAAAAGTTCTCTTAGATTAATTTAAAGACTTAATTATAATTTATAATTTATAATTTATACATAATTTATTTTAATTTATGGGTAAATTCATTTTATTTAGTTTTTTTAATATTTTTTTTCTATAATGTCTTTAAAGCTGTTTTCGGCTTCAATTTATAAAGTAGGGTTCAGTACTTCAGTCCAGTAAATAAATAATAAATAAATAAATAAACAAATACAATTACAGAGTTAGCATTTTTTTAATATTTTTTTTAACAATCATAAGGTTAGCTTTGTTTACTGGATACATAATTGTTTCATTCTAAAGTTACTCCTCTACATGTCAAATTATTATCGAATTTTATCTCAAATCTTGTGTTTTTTTCTTTGTATTTTTTTATCTTTATCAAGGTGGTGACATACGATAGTAATGATGGTGATAGTGGTATGAAATGATTATGATAGTTTAAACAAAATAATAGAGATAATTATGATAGTGATAATATATAATATTTTATTTATAATTTTTTAATTTAAAATATTTATTTTAATTTAAGAATTAAGATAAAATATTCTCATTCTAACATAAAAAAATTAAAAAATATTTCATAGTATATGGAGAATATATAGCATGAGAATGAAATATATATATATATATATATGGGAATGCTAATGTACTCCCACCAATTTTTTAGTGGGAGTATGTTAGCAACTTACACCAATTTTTTAGGACAAAAAAACCACTCATTTATTTTGATTTAGTTAATTCGTACAAAAGATATTATAGTAATTTAATTTAATTTTAAATGAAAATAAAATATTTTCTCTCTCTTATTAATTTCATTCTCTAAATCATTTCTCTCTCTTATTAAATTTCTTCTCTAACTCATTTCTCTTTCTTATTAAATTCTTTCTCTAATTTATTTATCTCTCTCCTATTAAATTCTTTCTTTAACTCATTTCTCTTTCATCTCTCATGATGTCTCCCTCCTCTCTCTCTGAACAAATAAAAATTTATTAATAGAAAAAATAAATGAATTGGAGAATGAAATTAATAAGAGAGAGAAAATATTTTTATTTTCATTTAAAATTAAATTAAATTACTATAATATCCTTTGTACGAATTAACCAAATCAAAATAAATGAGTGGTTTTTTTGTCCTAAAAAATTGGTGTAGGTTGCTAACATACTCCCACTAAAAAATAGGTGGGAGTACATTAGCATTCCCATATATATATATATATATATATATATATATATATATAATGATCCTAAAATCAGGCATTAGGTACTTGATTAGCCTTCTTGTGCTTCTAATACCAATATACACGATTTTAACATGGATATAACTATCCGGCTAATTAAATTCTCTCAACTTTTATAATATATTTTTATTTAATTGTATTACTTTTTAATCCTTGGAATTTGGTCTCTTCCAAATTTTCTCTTATTTATTATTAAATTGAGTTCAAAGCATCATCCCCTCCTCTAAATTTAATGTTCCAAAAATATGTGTTGTTTATATAAAATTAGAACTGGAGAAGTCACGTGAATTCTAGTAAATATACATGTAGAGCTTTCGGCATATATAAATGCACCAAAATAAAAAAAGGGACTATTTGTACGTGTATGATGGTAAAGCCAAGAATAGTGTTGGAAGTATTACTATTGTTTGTATTACAGAGTATGGTGTGGAAATTAGAATTTGGACCACTCTTGAGTCTTGATCATGCTATTTGCTAGAAATTAGAATAGAGGGACCAATTGAATTAAGGTTTAGAGTGAGTGATACCTTTCAACTTGTCTAGACAGTAACCATGCCTTAACGGTAATATAACTGCAACTATGGATACACACACGTAACTTTATGCACTTCTTTATGCAACATTAATTATTCATTTTTTGTCACAGAATATTGTAGATATTTTTAAACTTAAATATATAGGCTGCAACATGTTTGTTTGTGTGTATGGTCCTCGTCTCTCTCGTACATTATGGCCGCTGTGAATTCGTGAAGAGAGATATGGTCCCAAATTTCACTAAAACAAACTATATCTATATCCATAAAAATCAAACTTATGTTTAATGAAATTTGATCGTATTGTTGCTCATGTTTAATCGAACTCATACTAATAATTACCATAGATTTCGCTAAAATTTATGTGATTAATTCTCTGGCTGTGGCATTCATGTTTAATGAAATTAAGTTATTAAGGAAGCCAATTTATTGGCAAAATTATAAAAATGTTATAATAGTCTATTCATAGAAATCAATAAGAATTACAATGAGGAGAACAAAGTTCAAAATTAAATCTTATGTATATTATTTTAACCTCTTTCACTAAATCAACCCTAATAATTGATTTACATAAATCATATAAGAATATATGTTTTTTATTGTCTTTTTCTTACTACTTTATTTGTCTCACATTAATTATAATTTGAAATTTCTATACACATATTAAAGATAATAATAAATATATAATTTTTTTTATGCATTTTTACTAAAATAGTTTATTCTCTTAATAAATGTATTACTTCTAAATGTGATAGTTGAATAATTTATAGAGTTAAATTAGAAAAAAAAAATAATATTGTATTAAAAGTACTTTTTTTTAAATATTAAATATGTAGTTATTGTTAGAAGAAGAAAAAAAAAAGTATTAAATAATTCACACATAACACAAGTTTTATAAGAGGTTAAGATTACACAATGAAAACCCAAATTGAAGCCAAGTTATAATAAAATCTAGTATAGTAACTCGTAGGATGCAATGATCATCGATATATAGTAAATATTTAAGATAAATTTATTGTATAAAAATATTAATGAAGTTCATATGTTAAATTTTAATCATACTATAAATTTTCATTGCATCCTGCCGAGTAATCAGTAATATCTATTTAATTTTAAATTGCATTGTTAAAGTTAAATTGACAAAATTAGTGATTCAGCTTGCTGGTTGCTAATTTGAATTATGAGCGATGTATAATTATCAACATAATTTTGATATTTAATCTTTTTATATATATATACTCTCTCCCCTATCACTATCAGTACCTAGAATTGATTGAAAAACACATTATGTGGATATTGATATGAGTTGAGAATCTTAATTAGAATAAGATTAAAAGATAAAAATATTGTATCATAGCAGTAGATTACTGACCCCGTTGCTTGCATCGTAAGCTTATGTCTTCGTCCAATCCGCAATGATGTCATTACTTTCGCCAACAACATAAAACTCTTTGGATCCCTTATACCTGCTACTTCCCAGCTATATATATGAACAATATTATATCAATAACTTCACCTTTTTTTAAACTAAAATTTAATTTTAAATTCAACAAATAGTTTTCTTTCAAAATGATAATTTTCCCGTTCAATATACTTGACACTGAGAATAATTTATGGGTACATATAGAAAAGCACAATAGTATTTTTTTTCTCCTTCATACTCTTATTTTTAGTCCTACTTACTTAAAGAGAAATGAGTGTATTTATATAAAGTCACTTCAACACTTAAATTAGTATTTAATCTTAGTTGAAATGACATATTAAATATCGTAATAAATATAATTTTAAAATATTTTTTCATCTTATCACTATTTATATTATATTTTTATTGAGTTGTGGTCTCATTAATGGATTCAGATTTCTGTTATAGTTTAGAGTTTAGGGATAGTTAATAATCTTCTTCTCGATTTTTTATTTATTTAATAAAGATAAAAAATATGACAAAAACGATCGTAACGAGAATTGAAATTAAGATTTCATGATTTTAACTGCCTACTCCCTCCCCAACCCATGTTTCTTCTCGATTCTGATTTAGGTCTTATGTGGGTTTTTGGTCTTTAACAAGGTTTTGGTCCTCGGTTTAGTTCTCGGTAATACCACTTCATTGTTTAAGCTTAAAACTCCGAGTCTAATTCGAATAGGCAGCCACAAACCCCTCTAGTATATTATTAAAAAAATTCTTTTAAGCCGTGCCATGTATCTATCTATCACTTGATAGATGAAGGTATAAGAGTGAAATTCAATTGTATAAATAAATAAGATTAAAACTAGTTAAAATAATCTTAACCATTATGTATTATATAATTGGTTACATGACCAAAATTAAATGCTGTCCTTGTATATGTTCTTTCTCTATATATTACCTAAATCACAAATAATTTAAAAGTATAGAGAATAATATTTAGATTTTGTGAGCGTGAGAATGTGTGGTGGAATGCATGCCATGAAAAACAAAGAAGGAAGTTGGCATTATACGCAATAAATAAACCATAATGAAAGCGCTTTCACTCTCAATGCCAACGCAAAGTGCACAACACAATTGTATTCTTTCAGTCACATGATCACATACCTCTCAATCCCACAATCCATGGTGCATGTTTTGGAATATATCTAAAAGTCCATGACCACTTCGAAGGACCAAATACTTCAAATTTCTGATTTAATAACAGAATATTAGAAAAGCCCAGAGATAAAATTCTTCCTTTAAAGATTTAACACAATTGTATCGATTCCTTTAAAAACACTGAAACAACTCGTATCGATTTTCATCCATGTGTTCATCGGTAATAGTACATATTGTATAAAACATAAAATGGAAGAAATCTTATATCAAAAGAAATCTTTCTTAGACATGTAATTATATCGCATCCAAAATAAATTAATTTAGTTACATGTCACAGTCCACTCAAGAATCTCCCTCTCTCTCTCTCCATGTCTGCCACCCACATTTATTTGTTTGCAATACGAATGTTGCATTGTAGCAGAAAATGTCATAAACCATTTTAGTTCAGATTTGGTTTTATTATGGTTTTCATATAACGTTGGTACTTGGAACAGCATGAACATTTACATTGGTCCTTGGTTGAGGCACTGAGCTTAAAACTTCGTTTTTTTCTTCCTCCTCCTTCTACCGTGGGCTTCTCTTGCTTTGTTTTCACTCTGTTCGATATTTTTTAATGCCATGCAAAACAAAAAACCGTGTCTTCTTCTTATTTTTTTTTTTAAACACATAAGCCGGCATTTGTGTTCCCGTGTCTTCCCTGTTTTCTCAGTTTCTTTCTCTGTGACTCTGTCTACAAAGTCGGTGTTTTCTACTATTGTTTTTTTGCTTATTACCGTTTTGCAGTTTTACTTTATCAATGTCATAAAACATGTACATGTTTCACCTTTTTTGCAGCACTAGATTGCATTTTTTTCTGGGAAAGTGATCATATACGAGGTGAATACCAGAGCACACACTACTCTTCAGGCAATGAAACCTCCTTTAAATGATGGCAAAGTAATTTTTTATTTTAGTTTCACAAAAAGCTTAGCTCATTTTTCCTTTCCTTCTTTCTTTTTCTATTTGATTGTAAAAATCTTCAGAAACAAATGGTCATGTAAGGTTGTTGTCAGCTTCTTCTGAAAATGAGGCTATTGAAATAGGACATAAGTCCTATTTCAATAAGTTTCTCTGTAAACTTTTATAAGAAGTAAATAATAATGTAAAATGTATTACTTAAAATTAAAATTAGTTCATGCATTTTAGTTTTGAGATAAGTTAGACGAGAGAATTTCTATAAAAATTAAGTAGATATTTTAGCTTATAGAAGAAATTCGATTCTTTTATCTTCTTATTTTTTTCACTTAGAAGTGTTTCAGAGAAGTTCATTGTTTAGAAGTGTTTGAGAGAAGTTTATTGAACATAATCGTAGGTATTGAAAAATACAAGAAGTCGTTTCCATCTTGTCTTCCTGTTTTTTCTTTTTCCTGCATACAGTTTGTATTACAGATTTGATTTATTACCGAATGTGCAAAGCAGGACAAGATGGAAACTGGAGGGAGCAAGGCAATGGTGGATACGGAGAAAACCATGAAAATGGGGCGTCAATCCAATAGAGAAAGGAAAATGGCTTTGATACAAGATGTATGTGAATGATTTTCATATTTCTTTTGTGCTTTAACTCCTCAAGTGTTTATTTTATAACCCCTTTGTCAGAGTATTTATGTGTTCAAACTTCAAACATTGCAGGTTGATAAGTTGAAGAGGAAACTAAGACATGAAGAGAATGTTCATAGAGCGTTAGAAAGAGCATTTGCAAGACCTTTGGGATCCCTTCCTCGTCTTCCGCCTTATCTCCCTCCACATGTTAGTATATCTCTTCATTATTCCCTTTTGTACATCGATGGAACACAAAAGTGAGCAATGAATGCAGCATGCTTTTCTTCTACACAGATTGAAGTGTTTGTATTTCAATTATAATACACTTTAATTATTTTTATACATGGAATTTTTAGACACTAGAGCTTGTGGCTGAAGTAGCAGTATTGGAGGAGGAGGTGGTTAGACTGGAAGAGCAAGTTGTGAATTTCAGACAAGGTCTATATCAGGAAGCAGTCTACATTTCCTCTAAGAGGAATGCAGAAAATTTGAGGGACTCAATGGACCAGAACTCCATCAGAAGCTCCAAACATCAAAGATCAAAATCTTTGTCCCAAAGTGAGATTAATTCAACTACCATGGCCAGGCCTCAGCTTTCTCTTGCTAGAAGTGCTTCTAGTAGAAAGCTGTTCTCTGACATTGTCATTGATCACACTAGTAAGCTAGTGAACAGGAAACAATTGCACATAAAGCAAGATTCGTTATCATCAATCCCAGGAGAGGGATGGCGAAAAGAGAATCCACTGTTTTATAGCCCTTTGAAGGACAAGCAATCTCCACAAAAGAAAACAGCCAAAGTCATTGCTCCAGTGAATAAGTCTTCAATCAAAAAACAAGAATCAGTTAAGTTACAAGTATCCAACAGGTTTCAGTTATTACTATTTAGTGTGAAAAATGATTGAGCTGTCAATTTAAACAATGGTTTGTTTTGCTTGTTCAGATCGGGGGGAGATTAGTAGATCAAGAAAGACCACAGGGTTCCTCAAGTTTATTAGTTGACAACGCATCAGAAGTTGATAGCACGCCCAACAGAATTTCAGAGGATATTGTCAAGTGCTTGTGTAGAATATTTGTGAGAATAGGCACATTCAAGGACAAATTAGGGGAATCAAAAACGCCTTCCAGTTCTAAATCTGCATGCAGCAAGGAAAATGATCAGTTTTGTGATCCATATGGTATCTGTTCGAAATCCAAAATGAGGGATATTGGTACATATAGTAGTTTGTGTGAGATTAAAGCCTCCAATGTCGATCTCAATCGGGCAAGAAATGTAGCGTTTTTGATGCATAGATTAAAGTAAGTTATAACGGGTTATTAAGCAAGCTGATGATGCTTGATACTTGATACTACCTCCATCCCTGTATATAAGACTTTTACATTTTGTTTAAATTAATTTAAGAGATGTTAAACAACCCAACATACATATTCAGGATCCTACTTGGGAAACTTGCCTCTGTGAACTTGAAGGGTCTTACTCATCAGGCGAAACTTGCATTTTGGATAAACACTTACAATTCCTGCATGCTGAATGTAAGATACCTTTCTATCACTGATTTGCTACTTCTCACTACAATGTAAGACAGAAGAATTGGGTCTCTGCTTGAAGACTAGATTTGAATTTGATATCATCTTAGCTTGCCTAACATGTTCCTAATAACAATTCTTTGGCCTGAATTTTAGGCATATTTAGAGCACGGCATACCTGAGAGTCCTGAAATGGTTGTAGCATTAATGCACAAGGTACAATATTCTCTCAAATATTCTCTACATTTGTGCCTGTTGACGGAGTGAACTTCTCACTATCTAAACTTATAATGATTGCCTTTTGTTACTAGAAAATAAAAAAAATACTAATAAGACAGAAAAATATAATAAAACCCGTTATTATTCTATGTATTTTATGGCAGATTGAACTTAAGTGTATAATATATATATATATATATAATTTACTT